AATTATGGAAAAATGGTACATTAACCTATGATGCCTCGACTGGTGAGACTTTCTGCATGCGTGCAGCTTTGCTGTGGACGATACATGATTGGCCCGCATTTGGTGACATTTCTGGATGGAGAACAAAGGGTCATTACTCTTGTTACACTTGCAATGATGAACCATATTTTGAATCTTTAAGAAGTAAGACTGCGTACAGTAACCATCGATGCTACTTGCCTGATGACCACCTAAAAAGGAAAAAGAATAGAGCATATAATGGGAAGCATGAAAAACGGAAGAGATCTTTGGTGATACCGATAGAAAAGATTGAAGAACAATTGGGCAGCGTGACGGGTGTCACATATGGAAAACATCCAAGCAATAGGAAAAGACCTCGTCAGAACCCAAATTGGACAAAGGTAAGCATCTTGTATGAGTTACCATACTGGAAGAAACGGAAGCTTCGACACAACATTGATGTCATGCACGTGGAGAAGAACTTTAGTGAAAATGTTGGAACTATGTTGGGAATTGATGGGAAGAACAAGGATACAGATAAGGCACGAATGGATTTAGAAGATATGAATATAAGGAAAGAATTGTGGCTGACAAAAAATCCCGATGGATCATATGTCAAACCTCGAGCCAGCTTCTCACTAGCCCCTAAAGAGAGAGAGGGTTTCTTTGAATTCTTGAAATCAGTCAAGTATCCAGATGGGTACGCGGCAAACATTTCGAGATCAGTGAATGCAAAAAATGGTAGATTAACAGGATTGAAAAGCCACGGCTGCCATGTACTTATACAACGGATTCTTCCTATTGGGATGCGTGGTTACGTAGATAAAGAGATCAGTACAGCAGTTTTTGAGTTAGGTAGCTTTTTCCAAGATCTATGCTCAAGGACACTGAAACGAAGTGAAATGGAGAAATTAGAGGAACGTATAGTACTCATACTATGTAAGTTTGAAAAGATCTTTCCTCCAGCCTTCTTCGATGTGATGGTTCATTTGGCCATTCACTTGCCACGTGAGACTATTCTCGGAGGACCTGTGCAATATCGGTGGATGTACCCGATTGAAAGGTAATTTCTAAAATTGTAGTTTCAAATGAAAGGTGTAGATTATGTTGTGTGCCTAACCAATATCCTAATTGGTTATCTCTTCAAGGTTTCTCGGAGCTTTAAAAAAGTTCGTCAACAACCGAGCTCGACCAGAAGGTTCTATTGCAGAGGCTTACATTGTCAAGGAGTGCATTACTTTTTGCTTAATGTATCTTGAAGGGATTGAAACCGTGCATAATCGAGATGCACGAAATGAAGATTATGGAGTCCGGCGTCAAGGTTTGACAATATTCACCGAAATTACTCGTCCTATTGGCCAAATCAGAAAGCATGTTGAGATGTCACAGGAACTTCGTGATATTGCTCATTGGTTCTTATTATACAATAGCCCTGAGATAGAGAAGTATCTTCAGTACGTGTTTCTTATAATTATATATATTTTAACATTTTGCATGTTATTAGTCATTAATAATAGTAGTATTTCACTCATTAACCAAAACTATTTGAGTAGGGAACACAAGAATTTGTTACAAATTTTTACTGGACAAGATATAACTCAGATACAACAGAAGGAATTTCCGAAGTGGTTCAAAGAATATGTAAGTCATTTTTAATATTCACAATTGCCCAAACACTATTAGGCTTGTATTAAATACAAACATTACTAACATAATTCTAGTGTTGCACATTGCATGTGGATGTAGATAAATAGATTGAGAGTTGATGAAGCACCAGAAGCAACTGAAGAATTGTGGTCATTAGCGAATGGTCTTAGTTTGCTAGTGAAAGAGTACTCGGGTTGTATAATCAATGGTGTACGATTCCATACGAAGGAATTAGACAATCGTCGTAAAAGTCAAAATAGTGGTGTGCTTACCAAAGGGGACTACAAGGGAGAGATGCACGAATTCTATGGTCACTTGTGCAATATTTGGGAATTTGAATACATGTGTCAAAATAAAGTTATTTTTTTTCAATGTGAATGGTACAACACCGGTAACACTGGTAGAAGTAGAACAGTACGAGCTGACACATATTGCACAAGCATCGATGTCACAAGCCGATGGTATCAATCTGACCCTTTTATCTTGCCTAGTCAAGCTAAACTAGTGTTCTACCTAAATGACACCAAATGGGGGCAACCTTGGCAAGTCGTGTAACAGGTCCAACATAGGGGCGTGTTTGATGTACCAGAGGCTGGTAATGGAGAACCACCGGATCAACCAGAATTTAATGATGCATTCCAACAAGAAAACATTAACTCAGTTGTCCCGATCAAAATTGAAGATATTATTCGATTTCATAGGGATGATATTGAAGCTGAGGTTATTCCGAATAAAACAAAGAGAGATGGTAGAGATGACGAAGAAGATGAAGAACTTGGCATACTTGATGATGATATGGATCCTGATATGGAACTTGATATGGACTATGATATTTAGTTTTTGTTTTTTTATAGGTTTCTATATGGACATATGGTTTTAATGCATTACATAGTTATGCTATATTTTGTTGTGTCTCTTCAAGTAAATATTCTGCTTTATATTTTATGTTTTATATCAATTTATGCTTTTTAGTTATCAAAATGGCCAAAGGGGAGAAACAATGGCTCAAACCAGGTTTTCTAGCGAAACAAAAGTGAACAGAGTACGAAATGGAAAGAAATAAGACAATCAAGAAGAATAAAAAGAAAATGGATGCTCTACAATTGAACCGTTTAGCAGCTTCTTTGATGGGTTCTACTCAGCCCAATCGTGTTAATCAGAAGAGAAAGAACATTAGGGTTGAGATAGATGATGATGACTACATACCGTCAGATCATGAAGATGACACTGATGATGCTGAGTCCTTTGAAAGTGTTGACGATGAGGTACTATATGTATAGCCATTCTTTTTTGTTATCATGTCTCATAGCTATATATTTGTTAATGATGCTTTGTTGTACTACATGTTGCATCGTTTTTCCATGTTTCAAAGAATGAATAATACAGATTTCGCAAAGACTTGAACCCTATATCAATGCTCTTCCATAATTATTGATAAGTGATATTTTCAACAGTGGCCTTGATGAGTTTCCATATACATATCTTTACTTATCCATTTTTATGTATTTATTGTTTATGCTTTTGTATTATGTTTTTTAGGGCTTACCAATGCCACCCAAACGATTGGCGCAGTCATCTCCTCAACCTTCGCACGAGGCAATTGTTGTTCCGAATGGGGATTTACATGACAATGTGGTGACCCAACACTCACAACCACTTGATGGCGATATAGAGGCACCGAGGGAGGCAGCCCCCCAATCTAGTGTCGGTAAGATGCTGAATTTTACTATTAAAATGAAATCCCCTGTTTTAATATAATTCTATGGTGCAAAAGAACAGACTCTAATGAATGTTCTACACCTTGAGTGCCTTTCAGTTAAAGAAAACTTGAGTGCCTTACTGAAAACTGAGTTTTTCTCTAATAAATTGCAAAGAAAGTTTTCAATAAAAAAGTTTTACTGACCTTGAGTGCCTAACAGTTAAAGCATACTCTGTTCTCTGAAAACTTTCTTGGTGCAAAATTCCTTTATTACAGAATTTTTTTTTCTGAAATTGAACTTTAAGATGCTGGACTAATGGATTGCATTGTGATAGACTAATAGATAGTTATTGATGATGGATTGTGCTGGATTGGTGCTGGACTAATGGATTGTGTTGTCACTAGTAGAAAGCACAAACAACACATACAATAGATTTATACAACCTGCACATTTTTTTTATTCCAGTCCTGGACCTGTGTTGGTATTGTTTTGGGTCTGCTTTGGTCGGACAAGATATATCTGTGATGTTGTGGTCTTCCAATATATCTGTGTTGTTTTGGTCTTGCAATATCTGTTGCCATATACCTGTGTTGTTTTGGGTCTGTTTTGGTCTTACAATCTGTTTTGGTCTTGTTATTAATAACAAAACAAATGCAACAATACTATTACTAATCTAAACCATCAATTCAAGTCAAATATCCATCCATATCTGTTGCAATATATATCTGTTCTGTTTTGGTCTTGCAATCTGTGTTGGTCTTGTTATCAATAACAAAAAAAATGCTGCAGCACTACTACTAATCTAAACCATCCATTCAAGTCAAACATCCATCCACATCTGTTGCAATATATCTGTTCTGTTTTGGTCTTGCAATCTATTTTGGTTTTGATATCAATAACAAAACAAAGGCATCCATCCATTCAAGTCAAACATCCATCCATTGTGTACAAACCAAACCATCCATTGTTTACAAACCAAAGTGAAATCAGTCTGTCACCAAAGGTGATGTATTAGGTGAAATCAAGTTCATTATGCACTGTGTTACTGTAATGATGTATGCTTAAACCAGTGATCATTAGGTGTTCTCTGTGTAAACTGTGTTATCATTGCAGTAACACAGTTTACACAAAGTATCCTGGTTTAGCACCTAACTTAGTGTGTAATGATCATTTAGGATTTCCCTTTAATTAATTACTAACCAGTCAATGTAATGTCTTTACAATAGTGCCTAGTAGACACCCTCGTGGCTTGACACGCGGGTTTAAGGTTCAAGCAATGGTTGAGAAAAGTGGGGGATCATGCCTCTAAATTAGTCTCCAAAATTGGTGTTGAGGTCCGAACACACTTGCCAAACTTTAGCATTCGCAGGTGGAAACATGTCAACGAAGAAGTTACGGCACTTATGTTTCAACGCCTAACGGTAAAATTTTTACATAATTGATTGAATTATTGTAATATAATTAATTATGACTTACAAGATTTGTGGCTATTGCTAGGATCAATTTGACATGGAAGGTGAATCCACTAATGTTAGGAAAGCGGTGGCAACAAAGTGTAGACGGAGCTTGAGCAGCCACACCTACAGACTACGAAAAAAATACCTGAACCTAAAAAGTGCTAAGGGAGAGGATTATGCTAGAAGCCACCCACCACCTGAATGTGACCTCGAGAAATGGAAAAACTTGATTGACAAGAAGTGGAATGATACCAATTGGCTGGTAAACTTTTCTTATGTTTATTTATTGTTGACAATTACCTTGTCTTCCTAATATATATATTTTTCTATTGGAACTTGTCCTTGTAGAAGCAATCAAATGCTAACATTGACAATAGAAATCAATTGAAGACGAAGCATAGGTGTGGGTCAAAATCTCTCCCAGTTAGGGTACACGAGGCGGTGGGTCTTCTTTAATTTTTTTTCCCTTTTTTTTTTTTAATAAAGATGATTCTACTACCATCGTTCTTATTTCACTTACTATTGGAACAAAAAAAATCAGACAATTGCAAATGAGGGCCAACTGCCAGAGTTGCCATGTGTTTACAAATCTACACACTTTAATGATGTCACAAAGCAGTGGATTTCTCCGGAGTGCGAAAAGAATTATGTATGTATATTTACCTTTTGTATTAGGATGATTGCAATTATAATTGTATCTTTATTCATTTTTCTATTTTTTTTTTTAATGACAGGAGAATATGATAAAGATCCAAGCTGAACATTGCTCCGAACCTGGTACAGTTCCAATTACTCCGGAGGAGCTATCTGTGAAGGTGCTGAAGCCAAGGTCGGGATATGTTAAAGGACTCGGGTTGAGGCGTTCCTTCTCTGTCAGGACTACCAGTGCTTCGACTGACAGTGACTATGTGAGGCGTCTAGAGATGGAAATACAAGAGCAAAAGGAGCAAATTCAGTCACAAAAAGAGGAAATTCAGTCACAAAAAGAGGAAATTCAGTCACAAAAAGAGGAAATTCAGTCACAAAAAGAGGAAATTCAGTCACAAAAAGAGGAAATTCAGTCACAAAAAGAGGAAATTCAGTCACAAAAAGAGGAAATTCAGTCACAAAAAGAGGAAATTCAGTCACAAAAAGAGGAAATTCAGTCACAAAAAGAGGAAATTCAGTCACAAAAAGAGGAAATTCAGTCACAAAAAGAGGAAATTCAGTCACAAAAAGAGGAAATTACAGCACAGAAATGTGAAATTCAAGTACAAAAAGAGGAAATTCAAGCACAAAATAAAGAGATAGGGAAGATGAATGGGTCGATTGACGAGCATTTTGAGATCACATCAAGCATCATGGAGTTTCTTAAGAAGCAAGGTTTCAAAGGACAATTTAGAGGATGAGGTATCCCATGAACTCGTACGTCGCCTTTTTGGTAAGTCTCGCTCGCTTTATCATTTTATTTTTCTCATGTTGGTTAGTATATACTAGTTAAAGTACAATAGTTTGACTACTTATTAACTAAGATTTAACAAGTTTGAAGATGTATTTAATGAAAATAGATTCATTATCAAAATTCTTACTTAGCATGACCCTAGTTAAAATACACACTAACCATAGGATAGTATCGAAGAAAGTAACTTTTAAAGATGAAAATGTTTACAGATCTTTAGCATTTTAAAAATTGCAATTTTATGAAAAAAAAAACTTAATCATTGTTACAACATTATGTTAATAGCATCATAATTCAGAGCAGTATAAAATGTTTACTCAATCATTGGAACTCTTGATAGGATAAGTAATTTAAAAGTAAATTATGGGGTTTCCATAATTAAGATTAATGCTAATCCTATTGTCAGTGCCATTTCAGATGTAGAAAAACTGAAGTCAATTCTAAAAGGTTGGCAAGTAGGCCCTAATTCGCGCGCCGAGGGGGGGTTTGTTGGTGTTGCTTCCTATTGCTTCCATCTTGGTGACCAGAAAGTTTTCATTACAAAAAAACCATCTTCTAGTGCTAGTTTTTTAGGTAAATGAGATGGTAACGGGTGGGGACTGGAACATGATTAAGCTTGTAAACACGTAGACTAGTGTTTGCTGTCAATCCCAACCCAGCTCTACTTGACTAAGATATCTCCTTTACCAACCCTAAAATTGTATTGAAACACAACATAACCTCATCATAATTAATTGATGAGTTTTTTAACACGTTCTGGACTCCTTTCAGGACAGATTTGAATATCCTCAAGGCAGCATTACATGCCAAATTGTTGATTTCCTTGGGAACAGTCACCATTGATCCTTGACCTTGACTGATGAGAACACGAATCATCTTTATGCAAAAGTCCAAACGATTCAGATCCCATGACAACCATTTAATGGGATAATGCTTCCATGAGCATTTAACAAATACTGGAGGTCCAGTAGTAGGGGTTTTAGCTGATGGTTCATAATTTACCTGCTTATTTAAGTCATCATCCAAATCGCTACTTCTTATCAAAATAAAATCATTAAGCAGATCTAGGCAGATATTCCATAACCAGATGCTCTTACTGTCGGGTCCAACCCGGAACACTGCATCAAAGATAGGCTCACAAACAATTTTTGCCATCGAAGGGCAGTTGACAGAGGTATCAAGTTTGTGCAGCAAATAACACCACATGTTTAGGCAGGACGAGTGAACTGATATAATACGTTTACTTGTCATGAAACCTATTATAGGAGTCATTATGAGTTTTACACTCTTAGAAAATCCTTCTCCTTCTCTTCCACTATTATTCCCTCTTGCCAATTTGTTTGTATTTTACACTAGATTGGGTTAGTAAAGATTTCTGGCTCATAAATTAAGATTGAGAAGCAAAACATAAATTGAACTCAGTTGGGACCGAGTTGAATAATGTGATAAGTAATCCTTTCTTTGGTGCTGCTGGAGTCTGCTGGTGTGTGTTGCTACTGGTTTTTGCGCTGCTGGTGTTGCTACTGGTTTTGTGCAGTTACTGCTGCATGTTAAACCTGCTGGAGTCTACTGGTGCAGCTGTTTCTTGTGCAGCTACTGGCTCCTTTAGTGTATGTTGTTAAACCTGATGAGTGGTTGGTGCTTGATGTATTTTTGGTAAGAACTTTAATATACACGTATTGTTGACAAGATGCTGCACCTATGGACATATTATGGCATGTTTGCTTCTAATACCCCCTCATTCACAATGCTTTCAATTGTGACTTGAAAAACAGAGGGAGCCTGTTCCACATTTTGAATCAGTTGTGGCTATAGTGCTTAATGTACTTTGTCCAATTATAGGAAGTATTGGAGCAATTTCAAGGTCTAGGAGTACGAATTCAATTAGCTTGCAGTTTTCTATCATTTATAGGAGTGGTATTCAAGTGCATATTTGTTAAGTCATATTGGGCATTGCAGTGATTTCATATGATCTGAGTCAACTATGCTAAATTAGATTGGGGTTCAAAATAGTCATATTGGGCATTGCAGTGATTTTATATGATCTGAGGCAACTACGCTAAATTAGATTGAGGTTCAAAATCATTTTGTGAAACATAAAGGACACTTGTATATTTGTATATGTGCAAAATACTACCATGTTTTTCTTTTTTATTTGTTCTCTATTACAAACATCATGTCCGATCTCGTGGCAGTGAGATACATTAAACTACCCACCAGCTGCTTGTAATACATCTCATCAACTAAGTCTCTTGAAAATAGATTCATTAATTACTTCTTACTTAGCATGACCCTTGTTACAATACACACTAACCAAAGTAGAGATAAAACTATGTGTATACTTTTTTGTGTATTTTTGCTAGGCAATGTTGGAGTTGCTCTAAGTTAGTGATGTGATTAATAGGAGCTTGCCATGTACAAAGGAACTTCTGGTTGTTAAGTTAGACTCATTGTGTACACAATTTGTATTGACATGGATAGAAAGGTCTATACAATGTAATTGATAATATATTAATGTTTGCCTTATTTATTTTCTTTGCCGATTGGTTTTGATGACGTTCGGAAGCATACTTGCAAATGAAGATCAACTGTTGAATTTTTTTTCTTAAACTGATGCTTAGTTGTAGTTGCAAATCAAGATTGAGTGTTGATTTTTTTTTGTGGAATCCGCGTTAGTTCATTTTGGGATTTGCTTTGATGGTTTTTTTGTGATACTTAATGGATTATTAGTAAAGTTGTTTGATGGATATATTTTGATTTATAATATAAATGGTTTAGTGAATTTTTTTGTGGAGTGATGTATAATAGCTAGTGGATTTCTTAGTACAATTAAAAGGCTATTGGGACATGAGCAGGGATATTTGTGAAATTATAATTTAAATTGAATATAAAATATGGAACAAGTTCAGTGACGAATTTGTTTTGTCATTTATACTTGTTATTATGACAAAGTGATTATTCGTCACTAATAAACTTTTTTTGTGACAAAATTTACTGCAGTTTATATATGAAAATTTTTATTTATTTTGTTGTTTGGTGACTAAAAATTTCATCACGTATATATATATTTGTGACAAAATATATTTCGTCATCACCCATGTATGACTTTTGAAGACGAAAAATTTCGTCACCTTTACATCTAATTGTGACGAAATTATTTCCTCATCAATAATCAACATGCGTGACAAATTTATTCGTCAACTAAAGTTATAATATGGTACTGAATAACTATTTGGTGACGAAAATAACAATTTTTGGCGACAAAATGTTGTTTTATTGGTGACAAAAAATTATGACTTTTGAAGATGAAAAATTTCGTCATCTTTACATCTTATTGTGACGAAATTATTTCCTCATCAATGATTAACATGCGTGACAATTTATTCGTCAACTAAAGTTATAAATATGGTACTGAATACCTATTTAGTGACGAAAATGAGAATTTTTTGCAACAAAATGTTCTTTTATTGGTGACAAAAAATTTCGTCGCTGAAGTAATTTCATTGATGACGAAATTATTTTTCGTCACGTTGGTTTTTAGTGACAAACATTCAATGGCGAAACCGGTGACGAAAATATTTCGTCACAAATATCTATAGTGACGAAATTAACTCTTTGAAGACAAAAAAAATTCGTCATTCAAGACCCAACTTGTTGTAGTGTGAGAGAGATTTCAATAAAAGACCTGAAGGTATCAATAGAAAGCTTTCTGAATTAATTTATGGTGTCGATGCTGAAATGTTTTTTAGAGAAGATTCTCAATCTTTTGATGAGAGTGATGCTGCTATTGAGCTCAAAGCAGAATCACAGGACAAAATTTCAACTAATGAGAATATTACTAGCATCAATTCAAGTGTGACAGAAATGGAGGAAAAGGCTGAGCTTCAGCACAAGGAGCAAGTTGCTGATAGCCTGGTGAGTTTTATACTTAATTGAAAAATGGTCGTAAAAAGTTATGCCTCAAAACATTGCCATGGCAAGAATTTTTGAACGAAACCTAGAGTTCCTTTTACTTGTCATTTTATGTTTCGTCATTCCTGGCAGGTGCATGAGGCTGAACTGAAAGCCATGGAATCTATAAAAAGTGTGAAAGATGTTGGTTTGGATCCAATAGAAGATTATTCAATTTCAAAGAGTCCTTCAAACTGGCCCTTAGAATTCAAGAGGCTACAAAGAGAAATTATTGAACTTTGGCATGCTTGCTATGTGTCA